GGGGGCTGGGCATGCTGGCCCATACCTGTACTCCCAGCACTTGGGAAGCTGAGGCAGGAGGACTGCCATGAGTTCAAGGCCAGCCTGGGCTACTTAGTGAGTTCAAGGCTAACCTGAGCTACCAGCAAGATCCTGTCTTAAAACAAAACCCCAAAACTTGACTATGCACTGCAGGCCAGCTGTCTTGTTCCATCAAAAAACAAAACACTGTTTTTAAATCTCAGTCATGCTTGACTCTTCATTAGCAGTAAATAATCACCCACAGCTCCAGTAACTACAACAAATCAAAACCAAGATACTCCAGTTAAGAGTGTGACCACCAAGTCTTCCAGAGACCAGCCAACACAAGAGGTCTTAATGGCTCTGGTGCCAAGTGTTGGACAGCACCTGCCTTAGTACTCCCCATGCCAGCTTACACATCTGGAAAGCCCATCTCCCTGGCAGTGTGGGGGTGGGCACATGCGAGGGTGGGGGAGGGCGTTCCCAATGCCCCACCAGCCCCGTCTCTCTATGTGCCATGCCTCCTATACACTTCCCTTGCACTATAGGGTTTTCTTTCGGTTTCGGTTTTTGAGATAGTTATGTTTTTTCAGGCTAGTCTTGCACTCACTATCTATAGAGCCCAGGCTGGCCTCCAACTCACAGTGATCCCCGTGCCTCCGGCTCCAGAACCCTGGGGTTACAGGCATGCAGCTCCACCATAGCTGCCACTGCTGGGTCTTTGCATGCACACCAGCAGGCTCAGCCCTTCAAAACTTCAGGTTAAATTTCCTGGCACAGTACAGAACCCATGACAGTACCGATTCCTGGTTGTCTATTGCCTGCCTTCAGGTAATAACTTAAACTTAGCCTTTTCAGAAAATATTTTCCAGTAGCTATCTTCCTGAGTCACTCGACCAACCACCAAACATTTCCATGTTGCATTAGCCTGCAGTTGCTACAGACGGGTCCAGAGGACTTGATGCATTTTTAAAAGTGCGGTGGGAATTTGTCAACTGTGTACTCCATGCTTCTGTGGCCTCACGGCATGAAGAGCACGTGACCCGTGTACATGAGAATCGTGCTCAGGGTCCACAATTCTCCAGGAAGGCAAGTCCTGCTTTCTCTTAGATCTCCCCAGAAACCCAAGGACACTGTTAATTGAGCAAGACCCAGTTCCCAAGTGGCTGCTGCACATGTGCCATTAAAGCATGGGGGCTTACAGCAGAATTCTAGGGGCCGGACAGCCTGGAACCCACTGAAGAGCTGAGCAGCCCACCAATAGAAGCGAGAGAAGGCATTCAGCCCAGCAGAGAGGACAGAAAACCTGTTACCCAATGGGACGCTTGGAAAATGCCCATTTGTAATCAGGGCTATAAGAACCTTTTCTCCCAAGCACTTTGAAAAGTAATTTGTTTACTTACAAATACTTACATGTTTACAACTAAAAATTTTGCCTAAGTACTTTTTATTTTATAAAAAATAAAATTAGGGGGCCTGGCCCTAGCTCAGTTCTTTAAGTGGCTGCTTCCGCAAAGCTGTCAGCCTCAGCCTCAGGTTCCTGTAGTTCGATCCCCATAACACTCCAGCCAGCCAAACCTGCCCTGAAGGCATTTGGAGAAAAAAAAAAAAAAAATCCTAAAAAAAAAAAAAAAATTAAATTAAATGCATGGGTCCTGGCAGACCACAAGTAGTACATACAAAGCTAGCACAAATCACTCATAGCTGCATATATAAATATATAACATCTATGCGTACAGTTGGTTACTGATCTATTGCTACTCACTGTATCATTTCCCTTTGTGTTGTGTGGTCCTTACAAGGAGAGGACCACACATAAAAATGGACAGGATAATTCAGGCAGGAAGTATTTCACGGTGGTGAAGGGCACGCACCAATTATTGAACATTCCCTCCTTACTATCACAGATACTAAGAGTAAAAGGAGGAACAAAGCACACAAACTCACCGCGACTAGTGAGCTGCCTTCCTATATTTCTAAGTAAACAATGTCGAGGTTGAATTATTTAGTATGAGAATTTACATAATGCCAAGCTTGGAGCAGCAGTGTACATATTCAAGGGCGTTCAGCGGCTGGGTGTCTCTCTCGATTGTTATCTATTTCCATTGCTGCCGGGGAGGCAGCCGGCATTGGCCCGCTGTTTGCCTAAGATTGCTCAGACGATGTGGAAGAGCCCAAACTTCTGTGAGCATCACTCAAGTAAATAGTGAAAGATACAAGGACCCAGAGCTCTCTCGTGTCACTCTTCCCAGCCGCTATTCATAAAGTTATTTACCTCAAACCCCTTAAGGGTTTTCTTAATCCTGTCTTTAAAAGTTGAGCACAAGAATTTCCAAAGTTAATAATTTTATGAACAGAGCATCCCTTTGACGAACGTTTTGAGGACACCACGCAATCATGAAGCCATCCATCTTTTTAAGCTGAAATTCAAGTTGAGGCAAAGCTGGTGGTGAGCCTTCCCATGCAGGTACCGAGTGGAAAGAAAACAAAAGTGTTCATCTACATTCATACACTTGGTCTCTAAGAGGAGGCGAGTTCTGACCCGGGACATGAACGCACACGCGAGCGGTGAGGCACACTTTCCTGGAAGGTGATCAGAAGAGCCGGCCTGCATGGGCGAGCCACACACGCCTTCCCCAGCGTCAGTCCCCACAGTCATGGGCAGAGGAGCCAGAGGGACACGGGGCAGACACCACCACCCGCTGCATCGGCCACTCCAAGTCTTAGCATTAGGGGGGCTACAACAACAAAAGCCCCTCTTGCAGTTTACCTGAAAGATGCACTCCTGGGAACTGAAGGGGTTTAGAAGAAAGTTTTTTGGATTTAGGAACATGAAGCAACCAGCATCATGAGGAGAATGAAGCTGAAAGCTCAGCGCCAAGGCCCTACAGGGGGGCTCCACTGACTCCTTCTGCTCAGCCTGAAGTCACCAGATAGTGAGGTCACTCGGAGTAAAGGGAAAGGAAACATTGTAACGCCCTCATTTCCGGGCAGTCTGATGCTAAAACTAGAAGACAAGAGATGCTGCCAGATGCACAACATAATCTAAGCATTATAAATGCTCAAGAAAGAGTTGCCTATAATCCCCGCACCCAGGAGGCTGAGGCAGGAGGACTGCTGTGGGCTAGAAGCCACCCTGGGCTACACAGTGAGTTTAAGATTAGTCTGCACCCTATCTAAAAAAAAAAATATATATATATATATATATTAAAAATAATTATAACAAATTATATATATATATATATATAATTATATTAAAGAGAGACAAAGCAGGGCTATGACACAAAATGTTTGTGTAGTTCTGCTCAGAATAGAAAGCAATGGGGGCTGGTGGGATGGCTCAGTGGTCTAAAGCACCTACTTAGAACAAGCTTAGCAAAGCACAGAGACCGCGGTTCAATCCCCCAGCACCACATGCCAGCCAGCCCCGCCCCCTGGTGGGCTGAGCTGGCCACACACACACACACACACACACATAAATAAATAAATAAAATTAAAAAAAAAAAAGAATAGAAAGCAAAACTCTGGTGAGTCTACTGATAATTATTCTGTCTTCAAGTTGATACTGTTTTCTTGAACTTCCACAGAGCAATTTTTGGCATCTTCCACATTGTGATTTATATTAAAGGTACAAGCTGAAATTCCTAGGGTTCAGCCGGGTGTGGTGGTGCATGCCTGTAATCCCAGCACCTGGGAGGCTGAGGCAGGAGGACTGCTGTGAGTCTGAGGCCAACGTGGGCTACAAAGGGAGTGCAAGACTGTCTGAACTGCATAGTGAGGCCCTGTCTCAAAAGGACAACAATAAATAAATAATTTCTAGGGCTCTGCTTTTAGGTTCTGTACTTCAGCCAGACCAATAGATGTCTTTTTCCTAGTTTTAACATAATTTTTAATTTTGATATTTCAATTTTATTTATTAATTTTATTGAGAAACAAATAGTAACGAGACAGTTTCAAAACCAATTAGGACAGTTACAATAATTGATACATTGCATATTGGTGTCTTCATAGTGGTAATTCACAGTACAAGATGCAGACATGATATCCTGTCCAAACACTTTTAGTACACATCTTTCTTCTCATTGAATTAAGAGAAAGTAACTGTATATCTAGCCTATTTTGTATATACAGATACAAAATGGTCCTTCATTTGTCTCCCCTTTTTTTGGTTAGTTTTGTCGGAGATGGGTATTCCATTGCCATTTAAATATTGTAGGTATGTGAATTCAGCAAAATGACCCAATATAGTCCAGTAGTCCGTAATAGTAGTGGGTCACCCGTTGGACTAGCAATGTCAGAAGTTGTTGACTTGAGCCTTTTACAGCTCAGCACATTAATATGGTTTTACGTTTTTTACCTTGTGTTTATACTTTTCTGCTGGATGGTTAAGACCAAGATAAAGCAAGACCTATATAACAAGCAGACCAGTAGATTTCTAACAAACAGCTGAGGAACCCAGCTATGTTAGCGTACCAGCTAAGAAGCGGGCTTACAGCGTCAAGACTGTCCATGTTTAGTCCTGGTCCTACTGCTGCCTAACTCCTGAGACCTTGGGCAAGCTGCAAATTTGTGTCTTCATCTGGGCACGATGCAGGTGAGGAGCGGGATTCCTGTGAGGATCCAGTACGACGCTGGGTATAAACAGCTCAGCTCTGGCTGGTATTCCAGCTAAGTGTTTAATAAATGCCCTCCAGCAACACACCCCAAAGGAGGACTCATCTACTAGACGACCCATACAGAAGTAAAACTTCCCATAAAAAAATTAAAGAGGGACTCATGCTATGTCTCCTTGAAGCAGTGTCAGAATTTCTCCTGGGTTTACGTGCTCTACAACTAAATGCAATGAAGTTTAATTAAACTTCAGATAAATGATAAATATTCTTTGTCTAATTATGTCCCAAAGATTGTATGGTAGGATAAATCTGCTAGGATAAGAACTTTACTTCCTTGTTTCATGAAACAGTCTCTGCGTTGTACAAATGACTCCTTTCTCCCTAAAGAATTCTCTTCCTTCTCTGTCACCTTTGCAAGCTTTCTGTACCATACATTTATTCTTTATAACAGTGACAAGTTGAAGTAAGAGTGAGAGTAATACATCACACATGGGGATACATTCCTCCTATAGGTTCTACTGACTACTGCCTAGCTTGCCAATCTGCCTGCAGATCTCTGGTTCTGGGGAGCCTGGCTTGGTGCCACTCAATTGCCAACAAATCCAACCATTCGGACTGCTTCCAAGTCTATACGTCGGCCTCCTTCAATGGGTACCCAACCACTTGGCCTGGGCCCACTGAGCGAAGAGCAACTGTGTTGGGCCACTCATAAACCACTAATATGGTCAGTGCAGACAGTAATGAAACTGCTTA